GGAGGAGCCTGAAAATGCATCTCTCCACACCACAGTCCCGTGTGCAGGGACCCCTGGGCCTGCGGGACAATGACGACAAAAATGAGCCCTGATCCTGTGAAACGGGGACACCCAGAGAATTAAATCAAAACTCCTACACAAACACAGTAACAGGCATAATATCCACAAAAGCAAAGAAACAACAAACACCCAGAAGATAGGTTCTGAGGGCCAGACCCAGACCTGAGCCTTGGATGACGAGGGTCCTGGAGATGCGCTGCATTAGAAGTGACAAGACCTGGGGGATGTGAGTCCCTGTGACCACAGGTCCTTGTGGGACAGGGTTCCACTGAGGGACAAGGTTAGAGGAGCAGAGATGTGACCCGGCCGAGGAGTGGCCACGTCAAAGCCCACCATGCACTGAGCACCACCTGGGCACAGGCACCGACCTCACTCCGGTCTCACAGCCCCTCCAGTCCCCCCTGCAAAGAGCACAAAATACACAGGAATCTGCAGAATCCTTAGTGCTTCCATTTATTTCTTCTGAGAAAATACTTAATTAAAGGATCTCCTTTAATTACCTGTCACCAGTCACGGCAAGAATTAAAAAAACCAGGTCAGCCTGGCTATGGTGGCTCAGTGGGTTGAGCGTCGCCCCATCGATCAAGAGGTCTTGGGTTCGATTCCCAGTCAGGGCACGTGCCTGGGTTGCAGGCTTGATCCCCGGAGGGGGCGTGCAGGAGGCAACCAATCAATGAGTCTCTCTCATCATTGATGTTTCTATCTCTCTCTCCCTCTCCCTCTCCCTTCCTCTCTGAAATAAATAAAAATATTTAAAAAACAAACAAAAAAAAACAGGTCAATACACGGTCTCATTTCAATACAGAGCAGGAAGTTGCAGCTCACAGCCCCAGGAAGTAAAGGCAGGGATGGGGAGGGCCCAGCCCCGCCTCTGCTGACAGGAATGCCTGGGGAGCAGGGCTGGCCAGCCCCCCAATCAGAGGTTCTTGAGAAAGAAGTGGAAGCGTGAACACATCTTCCATCACTCGGTCCCCACAAGGCAGCTGCCTCACGCTGTGGAGGACAAGCATCATGAACAGATTCAGGTCAGTGGCTGTAACTGGTAACATTCTCAGAGTCCATTTCATGCTCAGTGTCCCTCAGACTCCCCACCACCCAGTCCTGCCCTCTGCCCATCCCTCCCCAGGGCACGGTCTCACCTCTAGAAGCCGAGAGAGACACATCAGAGCCCTGGGCACTGTCACTGCCTGAGGAGGACACACAACAGGACAGGACGGGGTCAGAGCCCCAGGGCAGGAGACGAGGAGGAACTATGGGGGGGGGGGCATGGCTCCTGTCTGCACTGTCTCAGGGTTTCAGGGGTCACCCCCCCATACTAACTGGCAGCCTGAGCGTAGCTCCCTCCTCTCCCACCTGCGGGAAGAAAACATCGCGTGGGAGACCAGGGAGGAGGCAGGGCCATGAGGTCCTAAAG